AATAATAATAATATATAATAATAATATTAATTTATTATTTATTATAATTAATTAATAATAAATTAATAATAATATTAATTTATAATAATAATAAATAAAATAAATACAAAGAAATTGTAAAAAGGAAGAATATCTCCTATTGTTTGTATAATTAACAACACTATTGATGTTTATATAAAAATTATATAAGCCTAAAGAAAGTAGAAAGTTAAGTTTAAGTTAAGTAGAAATGCATTTATCAGATTTCATAGGATCAAATCCAATTTAGATAAAGAAAAGTTTAGATACTTTATAATTTTGGAATATTTGAATTGTTGAGATTAAAGAAATGTATCTATTCTACTCCATTGGAACAGCAATCATCATCATTTTTTTTCTTGTAACAAGAATAAAAACTCACAAAAATAATTAATAACGTTTAAGCAGTAGAGTATCTATAATACAATGTGCACCATTTCACATTTGTGATTCAAACATAATTAATAAATATGAAATGATTAATTAGGAATGGCATTCTGTCATGACTAAGTGTCACAACCAAGTAGAAGTCATTATGTCCTAGTATGGCAATCATTATCTAATGTTGAGCTTTAATTTTTTTATTAACTGTTAATCTTACTGTATTTTTATTTGGATTTGGATAAATGAGATTTTAATGTAAAATTAAATGCTTTCATTGTTGTTAATAATGTGTGTCTTCAAGACTAATAGAATAAGAATATTAGAATAATTATTTTTAAATAAAATGTATTTGTAACAAGCAGTCTCAGTATGCTTATAAAATTATTAATAGCCTCATTTGTTCATGCAAAATTAATATATACTCTATGTCAGGGGTGGCAAACCTATGGCACGCATGCCCAAAGTGGCACGTAAGGAGAAATCATCTGGCACGTAACATATCGTACGATTTTGATTTATCGTTTGTCTTTTTCAATCATTGTTTCATTTATTCTAATTAAAGCATTTTCGTTTAATTTATTTAAATATTGTTATAGCTTTAAAGATGTTTATGCATGCCAAAGTTTTAAACTTTGGCACACATAAACATCTTTAAAGCTAAGTATGCTTACAGTATGGCATGCGGGCTCAAAAAGGTTTGCCACCTCTGCTCTATGTAATCCTCAAGCATATTTTTTTGGTTGAAATAATTTTAATAAAAAAAGAAATAATCCTTATATTCAAGCTTCTGTTACAGGATCTATAGAAAAATATATTTTTAGATATTGAGTAAAGTTTAAGTTATAGGAAATAATAATAATAATAATAATAATAAATTCAATCTATATGATATTTTTGTAATATGAAAATGAACTACTAGAACTGTATCAATAAAAAAACCTACTGACATTAAAAAATTTGGTTTTTTGAAATTATAAAGTTTTATAATTTGAAGAAATTACTGTTAAAAAAACATATTTCAATATCAGAAAGATATAAATATTTGAATATATAATTGATTCTATTAATACATATTTATTTTTACAGATACAGTAGTCTAATAATTTCATAAATAAGTATACAGGGTGTCTAAACATTTTTTCCAACTTTGAAAATTTATTGCTCAATGAGTCTGCAAAGTACCATACATACATACATGAAACAAACATGAGTTGAAAGAACAGTTCAAAAGTTTATTTACACACAGAAAGACACTATTCAAGTTTAACATGAGCACCACAAGTAATTTGAATGACATTGTATCAATATTCAACCTTTTGCCACACATTGTGCAGTGTGTTAGGATCAGTTGTGCTTTAGCACAGGAATCATTTATTTATTGCTTTAACTTTGGGATCAATGTTGATAGTGGGGGATATAGACACTGTCTTTAACAAATCACCATAGAAAGAAATCCAGGGTGTGATGTCTAGGGAAGTCATGCCAAAAGGCCTTTACATCTGATCCAACGTTGGAGCAGATGTTGATTGAGGTAAGAGCTCATATTGTTGTGGAAGTGAGGTGCAGCCTTTTCTTGCTAGAATGTAACATTTTAAATTCCTTCTTTATTTGAGGCTGTGCAATAGGTGGTGAGAGGTTAAATATTGGTATGATGTTATCAATCTACTTGTAGTGCTGATGTTGAACTTGACTAATTTCTTTCTATGTTTAAATAACCTTTGAACTGCTCTTTCAGCTTGTGTTTGTTTTGTGTATGTACTTGGAAGATTTACTGAGTCTTCCAAGTACATTTTTAAAATTGGATAAAACATTTATGGACGCATTGTACTTACTATTGATTTTAGTTTATCATCAAATTGACTGAAGATTCAACTTTTTTGTAATGTTAAATAAATTATTAATTACAGTTGATTCTCAATTGTATTTTAGTACAATTGAGAATCAACTGTAATTAATAATTTATTAATAAACAAATTTGTTAATAAACAAAAATTTTATTAATAATTCTTTCTATTCCCTTATTAAGGAATTGTAAAGAATTTTGATTTGAGAATTTAAATATTTTTAACATTTATATTTCTTATAGTTTGCAAAGAAATAATTTCAGTAATTTCTGTAGTCAATTGGAAATGCCAAGACCACAAGAAATGATAATAGCTCAAGATTTGGGAAGTACATAGAAATCGATTTCAATACTAAATACAATATTGTTGGAGCAAATATGAGAACATATCTACTGGAGAAATCTCGTGTTGTTTTTCAAGCTGCAGATGAAAGAAATTATCATATATTTTATCAGCTTTGTGCTGCATCAGATTTAGAGGAACTTCGCATTCTGAAATTAGGTAAATATTGAAATTTTATCCATTTATATATATAGGTATATTTTTTCATTATCTGATGTATGTATGTATGTGTCTGAGTAGATGCTTGTGTATATGTAATAAATATACATGTCTTAAAAATCGTTTGCAAAATTAATACATTAAAATAAATGATGATGATGATACATTAATTAATAATAAATTAATAATAATATTAATTTATAATAATAATAAATAAAATAAATACAAAGAAATTGTAAAAAGGAAGAATATCTCCTATTGTTTGTATAATTAACAACACTATTGATGTTTATATAAAAATTATATAAGCCTAAAGAAAGTAGAAAGTTAAGTTTAAGTTAAGTAGAAATGCATTTATCAGATTTCATAGGATCAAATCCAATTTAGATAAAGAAAAGTTTAGATACTTTATAATTTTGGAATATTTGAATTGTTGAGATTAAAGAAATGTATCTATTCTACTCCATTGGAACAGCAATCATCATCATTTTTTTTCTTGTAACAAGAATAAAAACTCACAAAAATAATTAATAACGTTTAAGCAGTAGAGTATCTATAATACAATGTGCACCATTTCACATTTGTGATTCAAACATAATTAATAAATATGAAATGATTAATTAGGAATGGCATTCTGTCATGACTAAGTGTCACAACCAAGTAGAAGTCATTATGTCCTAGTATGGCAATCATTATCTAATGTTGAGCTTTAATTTTTTTATTAACTGTTAATCTTACTGTATTTTTATTTGGATTTGGATAAATGAGATTTTAATGTAAAATTAAATGCTTTCATTGTTGTTAATAATGTGTGTCTTCAAGACTAATAGAATAAGAATATTAGAATAATTATTTTTAAATAAAATGTATTTGTAACAAGCAGTCTCAGTATGCTTATAAAATTATTAATAGCCTCATTTGTTCATGCAAAATTAATATATACTCTATGTCAGGGGTGGCAAACCTATGGCACGCATGCCCAAAGTGGCACGTAAGGAGAAATCATCTGGCACGTAACATATCGTACGATTTTGATTTATCGTTTGTCTTTTTCAATCATTGTTTCATTTATTCTAATTAAAGCATTTTCGTTTAATTTATTTAAATATTGTTATAGCTTTAAAGATGTTTATGCATGCCAAAGTTTTAAACTTTGGCACACATAAACATCTTTAAAGCTAAGTATGCTTACAGTATGGCATGCGGGCTCAAAAAGGTTTGCCACCTCTGCTCTATGTAATCCTCAAGCATATTTTTTTGGTTGAAATAATTTTAATAAAAAAAGAAATAATCCTTATATTCAAGCTTCTGTTACAGGATCTATAGAAAAATATATTTTTAGATATTGAG